TCAAGTGGACATCTTCTTCCCTTTCAAAGAGGGATTCTACAAAATAATAATGCACTTCCACTTTTACTTGATCATTTAAGGCAAAACTACGGAATGGTTTATGTGCTCACTGCAAAACTAAACCAGGATGGCCTAGAGAATTTTTTAGTGCAATCCGTGCGAAGGGAGGACTGCATGATCACCCCTCACCATTACAATTTAAATATCGTTTTCGATCGTATCTTTTAGGTACATTTAAGGAATTCTCAAATATATCATATATTAATGTTAAAATTTACTATACAAATAGGTCGCAATGAAATATTCTTTGTTCGGAAGCGAATGTCCAAAACTGTGATGAAAACATTTTGGAACTTCAGACATTAGATCCTGATGTGACGTTAAGTCAGCAAATTTTTATCCCAATTAATCAAATTCCAATAGACAATGAAGAACAAATTGAGGCAAATAAATGTTGATCCTACTTTATACATACATATAAATCTAATTATTCTTATAGATTACAGAAGATCAAGAAACTGAGCAGTTTTTGGAAAATATTATAAATTAAATGATATAGAATTTGATGGTTTGGAAAATTTTGCTGGCTATATAATTTCAAAAATGGGTCTTACCGAATTTGGATTTAGAACATCGGAAGAAAAAGATGAAAATTATTCGTATATAAATTTATTGTCAGAGGGTGGATTATACAAACCAAACACAAGTTTTTTAAGCCTTTTGGAACGTTTAAATTCAATATTTTTAACAAAATTATATGCTAAATTTGTTGCACAAAACTAATGTAAATTTGGACAAAAAAAATGTTAAAAGGTTTTATATTGGGAGAACATATTTTCGAATTCGGTTTTTAAACCGCCATTTAAATGATACAAAATATTTGCATAGTAATAAAAAAATGAAAAAAATTATTACTTAATATACCAATAAAAATAGTCACGTGTTTTAATTACATATAAGAAAGCGATAGTCAGGAGTTGAAAAAATAACTTCCAAAATAACGTAATAGTACATTATTATTTAAATTGTAAATTTTAAATTACACATTTTTTGTAAAAAATTTCTCGAAAATCAAAATCATTTTTAAGAATGTGGCAACGCTTTATATAATGCTCACAAAAAAACTAAACTTCAAAAATCCTTATTTGATAAAAAAATTTTTGATTGACACTACCTTCTTTATTTTTATCATGTTTGTAACAGTATCGATGGATTTATATGTTTTTAAATTACCATCGATTCTATTCAAAATAATATTATTGATACAATTAACGTCAATGTTTTTGGGTGCCAGTAAAGCACGCTCACATAACCACTGCCTATTTTTGAAATTACGTTGAAGATTTGGAAAAACACAATATATTAACTCTTTCTTTGATTGTGTGATCCTACAAAAGTTAGAGGGAAACTTTACACAATTTGTGGTTGGCTCAATTGTCATTTTTCCATTTCCTAAATCCAGCAATTGTTTTGTTGTTAATTTTAACGTGTGAACATGTTGCCAGAGATATGATGATTTTAGGCAAGCATTGAGTTCATCAGCCGGTGTTGAACCAGGTATCACAGGAAGTGTCTGGCGAAAATCACCCGCTAAAAGAATTAATGCACCTCCAAATAAATTAGAATTACTTCTCATGTCCTTTAAAGTGCGATCAAGCGCTTCTAAGGATTTTTTGTGGGCCATGGTGCATTTATTCCACACTATTATTTTATATGTTTGCAGAATTTTACCCATTGAAGAATTTTTCTTAACATTACATGTATAATCTTCAGAAAATTGTGTTTTCAACGGTAATTTGAGTGCATGGCTAAGGCAATATTCTTTTGTGATCGAACTTTAGCTAAAATTAATGAGGTGAGAAAGGTTTCTCCGGTTCCTCCTGGCGCATCAATTAAATAAAATCCTCCTTGTAAGAAGTAATTATTAAGAAATAATATATGTACATAAATATCATTAATTAATAAAATACTTTAAATATCAAACTTTCTTTGTCTTATTACTTTATGGTTTTGGATATTGACAAACAAATATTAATAAAATTTTTATAAACTAAAAATGCATATCAATATATTTTGGAAATTTTTTATTTTATATCGACAGGAGTAGCAAAGCACGCCGCGTTTTAGCTAGTTTCAACATAAAAAGTAGCCTATAGTTCCTTCCAGACATACAGGAAGAAACTGTGAAAATTTCAGGAAAATCGGTCCAGCCGTTTAGTAGTCTATAAAGCACAAACAAACAAACAAACAAACAAACAAACATACATACATACATACATACATACATACATACATACATACATACATACATACATACATACATACATACATACATACATACATACATACATACATACATACATACATACATACATACATACATACATACATACATACATACATACATACATACATACATACATACATACATACATACATACATACATACATACATACATACATACATACATACAGACATACATACAAACACACTTTCATTTTTATATATATAGATTCTAGCTCTAATAGTTTCTCAGATATAATAATTTTCCTATTTAATTTATATGGGGGCTCCAAGCTCCCCATGACGAAAGTCCGCTCTTTTTTCTCCAAAATGTTCAGATGAATATTTAAGTTCTTAGTGCAAAATTTGAAGAATTTAGTTCTATTAGTTTCCCAGATAAACCAATTTTTGTATTTTATTAATATGGGAGGTACTGCTCCCCTCATGGGTAGTCCGCCAATTTATTTCCCAAAATGTTAAAGTTACTCGTGGAAATGTTTAATATTCTAACTATAATAGTTTCCAAGATAAACGAATTTTTGTATTTAATTTATATGGGAGGTGCCACGCCCCCTAATGCTAATCCGCCCACTTTTTGTCTTAAATAATTATATTGATACTAAAGTTGCTCCGACAAAATTTGAAGACTCTAACTATTATATTATCTCAGATATACTAATTTAATATTTTCTTAATATGGGCGTGGCACGTCGCCCACATGAAATTTCAACATAAAAAGTAGCCTATAGTTCCTTCCAGACATACAGGAAGAAACTGTGAAAATTTCAGGAAAATCGGTCCAGCCGTTTAGCAGTCTATAAAGCACAAACAACATACAACATACATACATACATACATACATACATACATACATACATACATACATACATACATACATACATACATACATACATACATACATACATACATACATACATACATACATACATACATACATACATACATACATACATACATACATACATACATACATACATACATACATACATACATACATACATACATACATACATACATACATACATACATACATACAAACATACATACATACAAACACACTTTCGTTTTTATATATATAGATGGTCCACACGGCAGAAAGTATACTTTCTTACTTGTTATAAATTACAATGAATTTCAGTTACAAATTAATATGAATTGTTCATAAAAACACTTAAAAAATTTTAGCATTTTTTTTTCGGCATTTTAAAATCAATTTAGCATTTTTTCTAGCATTATTTTGAATGGGATTTAGACGCAACATTTTTTGAAACCTGGTCACACTGCTCCACGTACATGAGATTTTTATTATTATTCTGACTAGAATATGGAAAGGAATAATCAGCCAATATCTTCAGTTCATTTTCACACATCTAATTAACTCTGTAATTAAGCATAATATTAGGTTTCAATTCAAGGCTTTAAAAAATAACTTTATGTTTATATTTATATGTACCTGTTTTAATTTTAACCCCGAAGATTGGAAGCGGCACACATTTTTAGAAGTTCAATTTTCTATTTGGCGATTACTGGTCATTCATTTATATTAAATACAATTGCTTGCGTTGCTTGGAAATTTTTCTTTTTAATAATATCTGAAAACAGATGTCAATTTCTGGAAAATTACATATCGTCATATGGAATCCAAAAGGCCCTAAGTTACAAAAAATCAAAATCGACTTTTTGATTGATTATGATGCAACGTATTAAAATACATGTTCCTGCTAAATTTGATACTCCTACAATCAAAATCAACGTCGCAATCTTCGAAATTCTAAAAGATTACGTTCTAAAAATACCTTAAAATTCATGAAAAATTCTTTTGAGTTTTTAACTTCGAGATTGTAAAATGTTATAAGTTGGCATCAAATAAAACAAAATGGCACTTTTAGCGAAACCTTGCGATTTATAGATTTTTTAACAGCTTTAGAATTTTTTCCAAGAAAAATTCCAATTTCCGAACATCTTTATGAAAACAAAGAAGCCTTGTGCCATAGATGACATAGATAGCCAACTCAAGTTTTACCACGAATAAAAGAGCTTTCTCTCTTCACACTTACATGTTCTGTGTGAATTCAGCACAAAGCTACAACAACAAATATTCAATATTTTAATTCCAAAATTCGCACAGAAAAACGATTCGGACACAATTTTCATAACACAAACACACATTTTTTATTTTTTTACAATTTTTTTAATATAATTTCTTTGAAGGTGCAGAGTAGCAATTTTGATTACCAAACAAATTTATGAAAATCGAAAAATTAAAGAATTTTACATTTTAGCAAATATAAAATGCATGAAAAATATTATCATGCCTTTATAATGGTATACGCACAATTGGGACGAACGACGAATTTCGCTCTGTACGACGAATAGATCGACAAATATTCGTTGCGTAAATTCGTCTATTGACGCACAATTAGGACGACGAAAGCAATTTTTAACGTCATTTGTTTGAAAACATTTGAAAAATATAAAATCAAAAAATAAAAAAATGTTGCGAATTAAAAAAATAATAATAATTTTAAACATCATGTTAATAATGGTCAAAATATATCTGTTAGTAAGGCAACGTTTAAAAAGGAGGTGGTGGGTTCGACCAATAAATCTTGAAAGGAGTGAGTATGGCTTCCACACTATTGGTTTTTCCCAACTAAAAATAAAGGACGGGGAGCAATTTTTTATAGCCATTAGAATGACTCCGTCTAAGTTTAATGATCTCTTAAGTTTGCTAAAAGACAACTTAAAAAGATTTTCTAAGAGACAGCCAATTGACGCGGAGACTCGTTTGGGCATAACATTAATGTGAGTATCTTACTTAAGGTAAAACAAATATACATGCATTTAAAATGTTTAATGCATTATTAGATACCTGTCTCAAGGTTGTAGTCCGCAGTTTTTAGTGTGGACTTATAAGATGGGCGAATCCACAATAAGGAAGGTTGTTTATGAAACATGCGATGCTATTTGGAAGAATCTTCATGGCAAATATGTTACCCAGCCTAATCAGCAGGACTGGAAGAATATTTCTAACAGGTTGGTTAATTATAGACCTTTACACCGGATAAAACGATACAACACCAGTTTTTGGAGTCCTAGTATAGGGGACTGGTATATCCTTATATCGTGGTTCCTTCTTAGATTCTAAGACGATCCGTCCATCCGTCTAAACGGAAGGACCTAGAAGCTGAAATTTGTCATATCAATATTCTCTATTATAGTTGTTTAGTTCTGAAAAGGCTCAAAATTGGTTCACATTTGGCCCGCATATAAGCTCATCTTCAGGAAATTACTTTCATGTTACTGACTAACTTAAAAGTACCAGTAGAGAGAAGAAATTTGACACAAAAAAGGTTCGGCTTCGAATATAACGTTCTTACTTTTTAATATTTTTTTTGTTACGCGTTGTTGAATATGATTAGAATCGGACTATAACATATACGGAGATAACATTATACCAACTCAGTGTATTTTATAGTTGGGCTTAACTATATACTTTTTTATTTCTTTCCATATTAATAGGTTTTATGTGAAAACAGGAATCCCGCATTGCCGCATTGTTGATGGCAAACACATCAATATAGTTTGTCCAGGAAACTCTGGTTCCATTTTTTACAATTATAAAAAGACATTTAGTATTGTCCTAATGGCGGTGTGTGATGCCGATTATAAGTTTTTGTTTATTGACATTGGAGCACTGGGAAGTCAAAGCGACGGTGGAATCTTTGCTCGGAGTGCTTTTGGAAAAATGATATTAAGAAATAATATTGAACTTCCCCAAGAAGATAGCCTTCCTGGTAAAAATGTTAAATGTAATTGAATATAAATATAATATGTATAAAATTTTTGAATATTGCTTTAGGCACAAACAAATCATTCCCCTACTTCTTCGTGGGAGATAACGCACTTCCCCTTAAACAAAACCTTATGCGCCCATACCACGGTAGAAATTTGTCTGCAGTTAAACAGAATTTTAATAAAAAATTATCTGCTGCTAGGGTACATATTGAAAATAGTTTTGGGATTTTATCTAACAGGTGGAGAATTCTCCACAAAGTTATTCACGCCTCACCCAAGAACGTTGATAAAATCGTTTTGGCCACCGTATCTCTCCACAATTACCTTATGGCGGATAAAAACAGTGGTTACTTCGTGGACAATTTTGTGGATCATGAAGAAAATGGAATTTTTACCCCTGGAACGTGGAGAAATTCTTCTGAACGTTTGCAATCTTCGCGAATTTCTCAAGCAAACCGTTCATCCAGTGAAGTTTTTGCATTGAGAGAAGAATTGGCAGCCTACCTAATGAATAATTAAACAAAATTTCGTTAAATTTAATTGTAATTTATTATTTAATAAAAAATTTATTAAATATTTAAAATGGACCAGATGGATTCTAAATGTTTTGGCCTAACTCCTCGTACACTAAAGACATAACTTTACTTTCAATTCTCCTGACTTCAACTGGTGGTAAACAAGCATCTGAAATTTTTTTTGCAAGACTTTAAAAAAAAATGGATGTAGAGTCGCGATCTCTATCATTTCTGTTAGATGCAAGTTCTTTTACAGTATCAGCGCACTCCTTCATAACATTTTTTAATATCGCGGTTACTTCAGCATCTGCTTGCCTTTTACTAATCTTTTTTGGAGGTGCTTCACTCCCATCGTTGCTGTCATGACAGCAACAGCAAAATAGAAAAGTAAAAACTCATTTGAGTGCGAACAGTTGCATAAGTAAGAGTGTTTTAAAGTGTTTAAAAGTGAAATTAAAAGTGTTATCAAAATATATTTAATTTAATAATAAATACGGAAATGTACTCAAAGCTTTATATGGTGATTATTTTTAAGACATATTACTTGGCAATAAAAAAACATATCTATAACTTTTTAAAATTCATATTTTTTAAACAGAATCCGCAAAAAAGAGGGATATACCTACGAGGAATTTATAAAAGATTTAAGAGGTATCTTTCGTAGAATCAAGAATACTTACAATAAGGAAAAAGCTAGACAATACAATAAAGAAAATTCAAATAATTCTCAATAACCCTTTTTATAACAATTAATATGTTTTTAAAAATGTATTCAAATGAAATAAATATTGTTTTTGAATTAAATGTGATATTTTAAAATATTTTTATTCAACTTAAAACATTTTCTTTTAAAAAATAAAGTGAACGACAAAGCTTAGGACATTGTCACTCATGTAATCGTTGACGCCAAAGTGAATGATACTATCATCAATATAGTCGTTAATTACAAAGCTGAGGACATTTTCGCCCATATAATCGTTGACGACAAAGTGGACGATATTGTCGCTTATTTAGTCGTTAACGACAAAGCCCATATAATCGTTGACGACAAAGTGGATGATCTTGTCGCCCATATAATCGTTCACGACAAATTGGATGATATTGTGGCTTATATAGTCGTTGATGATAAAATGGTGGAATTAATCTATATTTTTGGGTGAAGGACAAACTGAGCGACATTGTCTCTCATCTAGTCGTCCACGATTTTCGCGACACTTGTTCGAAAATGTCGTTGACGATTTGTTCCGGCTGTCCTACATTTGTCTTCCAGGACTTTACATTGTCGTGTACCCATCGTTGAGGATGTCTTAAAGACAAGCCCAACTGGGTACTTGCTGCTAAAATGGTAGATGTGGAGCTATCAAGCAAGAAATCCATTGCCAATTGTTCGTCTGCAACATTTCCAATTGTTCTATATAAAAACATATAGATAGATAGATAGATAGATAGATAGATAGATAGATAGATAGATAGATAGATAGATAGATAGATAGATAGATAGATAGATAGATAGATAGATAGATAGATAGATAGATAGATAGATAGATAGATAGATAGATAGATAGATAGATAGATAGATAGATAGATAGATAGATAGATAGATAGATAGATAGATAGATAGATAGATAGATAGATAGATAGATAGATAGATAGATAGATAGATAGATAGATAGATAGATAGATAGATAGATAGATAGATAGATAGATAGATAGATAGATAGATAGATAGATAGATAGATAGATAGATAGATAGATAGATAGATAGATAGATAGATAGATAGATAGATAGATAGATAGATAGATAGATAGATAGATAGATAGATAGATAGATAGATAGATAGATAGATAGATAGATAGATAGATAGATAGATAGATAGATAGATAGATAGATAGATAGATAGATAGATAGATAGATAGATAGATAGATAGATAGATAGATAGATAGATAGATAGATAGATAGATAGATAGATAGATAGATAGATAGATAGATAGATAGATAGATAGAATAGATAGATAGATAGATAGATAGATAGATAGATAGATAGATAGATAGATAGATAGATAGATAGATAGATAGATAGATAGATAGATAGATAGATAGATAGATAGATAGATAGATAGATAGATAGATAGATAGATAGATAGATAGATAGATAGATAGATAGATAGATAGATAGATAGATAGATAGATAGATAGATAGATAGATAGATAGATAGATAGATAGATAGATAGATAGATAGATAGATAGATAGATAGATAGATAGATAGATAGATAGATAGATAGATAGATAGATAGATAGATAGATAGGATTGATTTGATAGATATATTAAATCTACGCGAGAGATAGATAGGATAGACTGAATAGATACGATAAGTTGGATCGAGATAGATTGGAAAGATATGATAGACATATACGGTCTTGAATCCTTATAGTTGTCTAAAAAACGAAGCGACTCCATATATTTCCATTTTTTGGTAGGACTCGGGGCGCCGCTACCAGAAGCAAGTTGAGCAACACGTTTATGCCGCTTATATGTATCCCGAAGTCCTCTACATCGTTTCTTACATGCGTCTCCTTTATTTTATAATTTGGGAAAATAAATTCATACATAATTATGTATGCACAATGATCATATATTAAAATAATTGCAAATTTGTTTTCTCCATTCTTTATATACCTGATAAATTTAATGATCTTCCAATGGTTTCCCAAATTTCTGTTTTCTTTTGGACATTTTTGTAGTCGTTATGTGCTAAATTGTATAGGCACTCACTTTTTCTTACCTCTTCTATTAAAATTTCGCTAACGTCCATTTTTTCACGCAAAATAATTCAAACAATTCAAATTTTATTAATTGTAAGTCAAATTTTGTTTATGTTTATAAACAATAGTGTGACCATATAAAAAAGTAAATAACATAGAAAAATAAATAGAACTGAAACTGAGAATAAGAAATATTACTCTCTCACATGTACAGGTTCTGTGTGAATTTAATACAATTGTATGAGTATTTTTATTTTTGTTTACATAAAATAACAAAAATATGAAAGTACAAAATGTATCCGAATACACCATACCCTACCACATTGCGAGTAAGTAGCAATAAGTTATTTAGTATTTTTTAATGTAGAAGTTATATTCAAGAGATTGATGTTTGCTTAATTAATGAATGTACTACTCATTATAATAATATATAGTCAAAATTTCGTATATATAAAATTTGTTGAGTCGAATTTTATAAATACCCTATTCTTGTATAGCATGTACCGCTTACAAAAAAGTTCAATAGGCTAATTTATGGGCGGATTACATCATTACATCGACGCAGGTGTTACAAACTTTAAGACATAAACAAAATACCGTTCCCATTAGTGTGGTGTAGGGTGTATTTTGACTGCATTTGGGCTGCTTTGAAATTAACAATAATCGTTCATATCAAGCGTTAATTTTAGCATTAGCACAATTCCTTTGGCAAAATAGCCCCTGCTGCTGCAATAAACACTGCTAAAAGTTATGTTTTCCCATAAAATTATTGAAAACATTTTCAGAAAAGAAACAAATTTTTCAATCGTTTTTATTTTTTTAATATTATTTTCAAGTGTCAATATTGACTCAATCCAGCAACCACAAAGAGTTTATTTAAAATTAAAAATAATTTTTAATGAAGATCTTTCTTACATTGGTCAACTGATATTGAATAAAAATGGCTAATTCAAACCATTATTTCATAAAATATCGAAATATAATATCAAACAAAAATATAAAAACTTTTTAAACGAAAGAGTTTGTGTTTGTTGGGTTACATATTTTTCAACTAATACATTCTCACGACTTAGGTTTTTGACAGCAGACTTAGGTTTTGTCATACTCAGTTTCAGTTCTATGTATACCTTTTCTATGGTAAATAACATAGAAAAGGTATACATAGAACTGAAACTGAGTATGACAAAACCTAAGTCTGCTGTCAAAAACCTAAGTCGTGAGAATGTATTAGTTGAAAAATATGTAACCCAACAAACACAAACTCTTTCGTTTAAAAAGTTTTTATATTTTTGTTTGATATTATATTTCGATATTTTATGAAATAATGGTTTGAATTAGCCATTTTTATTCAATATCAGTTGACCAATGTAAGAAAGATCTTCATTAAAAATTATTTTTAATTTTAAATAAACTCTTTGTGGTTGCTGGGTTGAGTCAATATTGACACATGAAAATAATATTAAAAAAATAAAAACGATTGAAAAATTTGTTTCTTTTCTGAAAATGTTTTCAATAATTTTATGGGAAAACATAACTTTTAGCAGTGTTTATTGCAGCAGCAGGGGCTATTTTGCCAAAGGAATTGTGCTAATGCTAAAATTAACGCTTGATATGAACGATTATTGTTAATTTCAAAGCAGCCCAAATGCAGTCAAAATACACCCTACACCACACTAATGGGAACGGTATTTTGTTTATGTCTTAAAGTTTGTAACACCTGCGTCGATGTAATGATGTAATCCGCCCATAAATTAGCCTATTGAACTTTTTTGTAAGCGGTACATGCTATACAAGAATAGGGTATTTATAAAATTCGACTCAACAAATTTTATATATACGAAATTTTGACTATATATTATTATAATGAGTAGTACATTCATTAATTAAGCAAACATCAATCTCTTGAATATAACTTCTACATTAAAAAATACTAAATAACTTATTGCTACTTACTCGCAATGTGGTAGGGTATGGTGTATTCGGATACATTTTGTACTTTCATATTTTTGTTATTTTATGTAAACAAAAATAAAAATACTCATACAATTGTATTAAATTCACACAGAACCTGTACATGTGAGAGAGTAATATTTCTTATTCTCAGTTTCAGTTCTATTTATTTTTCTATGGTAAATAATTTAAAGGAAAATATTGACAAAGTACGATGTAAAACTATGTTATATTATTAAAAATAGTGTTAATTTAAGGTATATACAATAAGTTCAAAAGAAAACAAT